TCTCTCTGAAGGATGGTGTGATTTTTAGAGTTCATTACATATATATTTGTATGGAATTTTTAGGCAAATAGAGATTCTATACTGTAAATATATACAGTATAAATATATATCAATGACTTCTCAGAGTAGATAACATTAAATCCAATAGCTTAGCTCCATACTCTACATACTGTCTAACAAGCTGTTATATGTACTTTCTAAATACACCTACATCTGTCTTAGCAGTTTGTGATTAAATGTCATTTTACCAAGCTAGCAAGATAAAAGAAGCACTTTTTCGCATGGGTATAAACATAGGCATGAATTTATTGCTATAGTTATCTTTATATAGACATATGAAAAATACTTAATTGGGATTTGAAAGATACATATCTATTTTGTTTCTAGCAATAAAATGTTTTCCAAACAAAAGATATCAACATTTGTTAATATCTATAGTTACAGATATGAACTTTCAAAACTAAAGAACATGATATGCTATGGAAAAGTTGTCCACCAAAAAAAAAAAAAAAAAAAAAAAAAAAAAAATCCTCCATTCTTATTTGTTTAATGTGGCATTTTTGTATCAATTCAACCCAACTTAGCTCCTAAATTTCATCAGCCTGTTGACAGAAAAATACTTATTTACTGAATTTTACCTCTTTCATTGAGTCATTCTGAGTAAATGATCCCCTTTCAACAATCTTCTGAGGAAAATTTGTATGCCATTTAGTCTGACAGAATTTTCAAAGCAGGAGACAAATTTATATGCAGTAGCATATGCACTGTTCATTGCAGTCTACATATTTCCAAAGCAGACCTTCCTAATAAGTCCGACAAATCATCAAATATCTTAGAGTTTTAAACACAAGTGTATTTACTTCCTGATTTTCAGTTAACTTTATTATGCCGCAGTTGAAAAAATGTATCATTTTCTTCTGCACTTTCCCACCAATTCATTTTGCAATTCCTTCATTGATACATAAGTAGGGCACCCCTTGATCTACCAATGTTAGGATGTTAGGAATGCTACAGATTCAGCATTCCACCTTCTCTTGAGCTCTCTTTATATTTCATCTCTTTCCACAGTTCAGAGAATCTCTTAAATGACAGTATAAATGACAGCTCACCATGTAAGGGAAGAATAAAGGAAGTTGCAATGGAAGAACTGCAAGTATGTAAAATATTTTTCAGAAGATGGACACGAAAAAGAAGACCAATATTGTTCTAGTTGGGATCTTGTTGCTTCTCTCTTTCTAAATAAATGCATAAATAAATAAATGACTTTCAGCTGCTTTGTTCTGATAAAAATAAACTGCATAGTTCCTAAAATGATGAGTTTCACCCTGCAAAATGTGAAGTTAAAAAAAAAGTTTTCCTCAGTAGTCTAAAGATCAGGTTCAAATTTCCATGTTCTCCTGCAATTTGATGACTAGATCCATTTTAGTCTCAGATTCATGCCCATCACTTCTTGGTGCAGACTGTCAAAAATAATAAAATACCTGCAGCAGCTGTAGCCTTTGTTGCATGCGCTCTCAAGTCCTGTGACATGCTTGCTGCCATTCAACCACATAGCTTTCTCTTTCCACTCTACACATTTGAAGATTTTGTCTTTTCCTCCAGAAATGTCAATTCAGACTAGAGTTCCTGGCCTTGACTGTCTCTCTACTTCCCAAGTCACCCATTTTCTCTGAAACAGTTTAGCGAAGCTTAAGTCTTAAAAGTAGGTGCTTTGTGGAGGGTAACAGTCTACAAAGCTTGCCCAAGTGCCCCAGTAACAACTGTTTTCTGCAAACAGAGGATTTAATGAGCCTTTTTTTTTTTTCTTTTTTTTGTGAAGACAAAAAACAATACAGATCATTTTGCCAGATTTAGACCTAGAAGTCTACACAAAAACATATTAATCGGGCAAGCTACCTGAAATTATGTTCTTTCTCCCCTGATAATACTGACTGTTGTCTGCTCTAGTTTATGTCCAGTGATCCTGATTCAGTGCCATTGCAAACCTTAATCTTCATTCTGGCTGAATCTTGCCCTATTTCGCAATGTGTGTCTATCATATACTACAAGGTATAGGATGTCATTTTTGTATGATTTTTTTTTTTTCCTTTTAGACAGTATTTTATATTCTCTTATTTTATATTGTTCATATGTATTCTCCCTTTTTTTTTCTATATGCTTACATACATACTTCTGCTGTTGAACACATATATAAGCTTGCTGAGCTCAAACTTTAAAATGCTAGGTGTGACATTTGTTCTGGTTTCAGCTGGGAGTTGATTTTCTTCATAGTGCCTGGTATGGTGCTATGTTTGGCTCTAGGAGAAAAGCAATGTTGATAACACACTGATGTCTTAGTTGTTGCTGATCAGCACTTACACAGAGTCATTGATATCCATGATGCTCTGCCAGCAAGGAGGCTGGGGTTTGGTGGGAACAGGGATACAGAATCATGACCCAAACTAACCAAAGGGATATTCCACACCATTTGACATATTGTGAAAATTTTAAAACTGTGGGGATTTGGCTGGGTAGGCTGCCACTGCTCAGTGTCTCGTTGGGCATCAGGCAGCAAATGGTGACTAATTGTGTTGTTCCTCACTTGTTTTGTAAATATATATGTATATATTTATATACATATATAATTACCATTATTTCTCTCTTCCTCTTCTGTTGTAGTGAAAATTTTATCTCAACTGTCAAGACCTACTTTTTTTTTCCCCTGATTCCCTCCCTCATCTCACTGGGAGTGGCTGAGTGAGCAAATGGCTCTGTGGTGCTCAGCTGCCTGACAGATTAAACCACAATACAATAAGAGGAAAAAAAAAGCAAAACAGGAATAGTAAGCAATTGTGTATCATTTTGTGGCTAAGAGGTTTGCCAGTGTTCAGAAGAGAAGTGCTACATTTTATGCCAGTTCATACAAAAATCTTTTCGATCATCCTATAGGTTTTATATTTTCCTTTCATTGGCTTAATCAAATTATTTTTTACCTGAAGAAGCTTTCTTACTTTCTTACCTGCAGAATTACAGTGCTGTTATATAGTAAGGCTCTCTATTTTTAAAATACATGTATTTATGATATACCGTTCTTGCTCAATCTCAATCATCAATAATGGCACTTAAGAAACATCGGTTTTTGTTTTCTTTTATGTCGTTGTCATAACAACTTTTACTTGTGTTTCTACATCTGAGGATAAAAAGGCTAATCTGAACATGCCATAACTCAACACTGAAAATATCTATTAAGAACTTAAGCGGTTGACAAATACAAAGAAAAATAATTGACCATGACCTTCCAATACTCAGAGAAAAAAAAAGACCTTTTTTAATCAACAAAAATGCTGTTTTTGATGTTTCAATGAGTGAGAGTAAATAGAGCAGATTTATTTCACTGGAGGCAAGGGTGAGAAATGACAGCTTGGCTAGCCACCTCAATTTACATCCACCTAGCCAACATGCACCTGTCTAGATCAGATGCAGGTCCCTGTCTGTTACTACACTTGCTTTTGCAGATGAGGGAAACCATAGGGGAGATGTTTAATTGAACTCTGGTGTGGAGGACAGATACAAGGAAAGCAGAATGGCTTCCAGCTTTCACTTACAAATTAAACAAAATCCTAAGGGATCTTTAACCGGCCGACATTTGAAGGAAATTAAATGCTAATGTGTGCAGTTGTACTTTTTACACCCACAGACATCAAATATATAAAGACATTAATTCCTACTCTGTTACAGCAAATTCATAATATATGCACAAGGTATAAGGTTAAATCTTATGGAGTAAGGTAGGAATTCGATATCAAATCATGCGCTTGCAGTTTAACATGAGCCCAGACATTTTCAACTTTAAACTGTTAAAATAAATGACTAACACTTTTTTTTTTTTATGTGCAGAAATATGGCACTACTGGAGAATTAGAGAAGGTCCTTGTTGAATTCTGCAATGTGAATTATGCCCAGGAGAATACAGTAAATGAGATTCTGGAATGGTATGAAAATTCTTATGCATAAGATTTCAGTAGCTCCATCTAGAGAAGAAAAACATTTAAAATATATTCCATGAAAGTTACTTGCAAGAGACTTCAGCAGCTGAGGAGAAAGTACAAAGTACCAGTAATGGCGCAAGTTGAACGCTGGTCACAGTAATTAGAAAGCTCACTGCTTTAACATAGTCATCTTTTTTTACAAATTTTGAATAATCTGTGCATGTATATGAAAGATAATAGTATTATTATGTATTTTTTTATTTTTCTAAACTAAACACTATCTTTAGGAGAGATTAGAGTACGGCAGTCATCACAGGACCTACCTGTAGGGTAAAATGGTTTGGGAAAACACAGGGTAATGAAATATACGGACTTCAAAAAATAAATCAACAACTGGACATATAAATAAATGAAAAATCATATGAAACACATGCTTTAAAATAAAAGAAAAAGAAATGCATTTAAAATAAAAAGTTAATTCCAGAAATTGGGTTTCCTGTAAAGAGCAAAATAATACAGCTGTGTCCTTAGAAACCCAATATTGAATGTTAGTTAAAAACCTCACTGAGTTCTCCCTTAAGGTGACGGAATACCTAAATGTGGAATTTGTGTGACCTAAATGTTATCTAAATCTGAACTATGTTCATTTTGCAGTCAGTGAATAGAAATAGCTACTTGAAAAGCCAATCTAGGTGACTAATCTGTAGGTTTCTAAAGCTAGCTGAGATGAATTTCATCCCAAGTTTGTAGCAATGCTAGTACTAGGCATCAAAATTTGTAGCACTTAGATCAAATTGAAAACAGTCTTAGCATATATAGATGAACATGATATCCAAAAGTTAAATGTTTCAATGTTTAAATGGGTTTTTTTGAGTCTTCAAGCACAGAAAATTAAAACAGAAATTTATGGTAGATTATTAAAATACTAGAATGATAGACTAATCTGAAAAAATAATTGGAGAATAAAAATAAAATGTCCACTGAAAATGTAACAGGCAAAGTTAATTAATGCAAAGATATGCATGCATATACAGTTAGTACATCTAGATAGAGAAATTGCCAGTACAGGTATATGTTAGTGATTTTGCAAAGCTTTGATGAATTTCTGTCTCAGCATAGTCTTATCCATGTATCACTGTGTGATATGACTCTTCTGATCTCTGTTCCTTGCCCGGAGTCTATCTCCTCTGGTCTCACATGTTTGTGAGACACTTTAGGCTGCCACTTTTTTTACATCCCTTGAGCGTGCTACTGGCGCTTTTATAGGAAATGTAGAAGAGCTTTTTCTATAAAGTAAAAAAGAACATCTTCAATTGCAATTTGTTTCCTGACTGATAAGAAAGTCCAAACCTCGGTTAACTTTTTACTTCCAATTTCAAGGAATATAACTATTCCTGCATAACACTGTTTAAATAAGTAAATAAGTAATTAAGATTAAGGCTATTGATGCATTCTACTTAGACTTCAGCAAAGCCTTTGACACTGTCTCCCACAGTATTCTCCTGAAGAATCTGGCAGCCCATGGCTTGGACAGGCACACTCTTTGCTGGGTAAAGAACTGGCTGGAGGGCTGGGCCCAGAGAGTGGTGGTGAATAGAGTCAAATCCAGCTGGCAACCAGTCATGAGTGATATTCCTGAGGGGTCAGTACTGGGGCCTGTCCTGTTCAATGTCTTTCTTGATGAAGTGGATGAGGGAACTGAGTGTATCCTCAGTAAGTTTGCAGATGACACCAAGTTGGCTGGAAGTGTCAATCTGCCTGGGGGTAGTGAGGCCCTACAGAGGGATCTGGACAAGCTGGATAGCTGGGCTGAAGCCAATGAGATGAGGTTCAACAAGACTAAATGCCAGGTTCTGCACTTTGGCCACAACAACCCCAGGCAACTCTACAGGTTTGGGGCAGAGTGGCTGGAAATCCGCATGGAGGAAACAGAGCTGGGGATGCTGGTTGGTGCTTGACTGAACATGAGCTAGCAGTGTGCCCAGGTGGCCAAGAAGGCCAGTGACATCATGGCCTTGCATCAGAAATAGCATTGCTAGCAGGAACAGGGAAGTGATCATCCCTCTGTACTCAGCACTGATGAGGTTGCACCTTGAGTACTGTGTTCATTTTTGGGCCCCTCACTACGAGAAAGACATTGAGGCCCTAGGATGTGTCCAGAGAAGGACAATTAAGCTGGTGAGGGGTCTGGAGCACAAATCTTATGAGGAACAGCTGAGGGAACTGGGATTTTTTAGAAGAGGAGGTTCAGGGGAGACCATATCACTCTCTACCACTAACAGAAAGGTGGTCATGGTGAGGTGGATATTGGCCTCTTCTTCCTGGTGACTAGTGATGGGACTAGAGGGAATGGCCTCAAGTTGGGACAGGGGAAGTTTAAGTTTGGTTATTAGGGAGAGGATAGTTGTAGTACTAAGGGACATGGTTTATTGGGTATTACTGGTGGTAGGTTGACAGTTGCACTAGATGATCTTATAGGTCTTTTTTAGACTTAATGATTCGGCAACTCTATGATCACCTAAATGGATGGGCAATGAGCACAAATTGAAAACCGGGTTTAGCAATAGACTTGTAAAGTTAAGTGGTGGTTGAACATGATGATCTTAAAGTCTTTTCATACCTCAGTGATTCTATGAAAACCTAGAATCTTTTCCCTCACTGTCCAGATCACTGAATGGCACTGGTATTTCAGATTAGGAATTCTGAGAACGTTTTTATTAAAAAAAAAAAAAAAAAAAAAGTATAATGATTGAATGAATACTTTGAAGGAACACTCTTGATTTTCACTGCAAATTAAATTCCCCACTGCAACAGGCTAAGTTCTATACCACTCCCATATGATACATTTTAAAACACTAGACCAATCTACTAAAATTAGAATACTCCTATCCCTTTAGAACTTAATATTAGTAGGCAGTGAGAAGATCTCCCAGATTGCTGATCATCTTTAATACAGTATATGCAATTAGCTCTTCCACAATTAGGAACTTTAACAACAACAAAAAAAAAGTTTTAATTGAAGAGCATCTGTGACATTTTAAACAGGAAAACAGAAAAGCTTAAAATGTTTCTTTGATGCTAAAATATATTTTTGTTTGCAGAAAGATATTTGCTTTACACCCCATCTTTCACAGTACTTAAAATATTTAGTACTTCTTTTCCTGACTAGCTATTCTCCCACAGTCACAATGCATTATACCTTCACTGATGGTAAGATGCTGGCCAGATGGCTGGAAGCTATCCAATGGCTACTTAACAGAACTCAGCTGAGATTTATGATAAACTATTGTTCCTAGGACAATATTCATTCTTGACAAATGTCAGTGAGTTAACTGGTTTATCTCAGAAAAGTTCATATTGCAAGTCATAGCATATTTCAGATTTAGTTATAGCCATGTACTAACTAACATCTATCATGATTCATTTTCAGGTCAGATATATAAGCACTGACTTTACTTTTGTTTAGGGATTTTCCATAGTACTTGAAAGTTGCTAGAGCACAGAATACAAAATTTGCTGAAGACTTATCATGAATTCATGTATAATTTAAATAATTTTCAGGAATTTACAATACTAAATTATTACAAGCATAGCCATACAGGGTACAAACAATAATTCTCAAGAAAAACATTCCACATCAGGAGCTTAAATCCTGGAAAAGTCTGACTGAGAATATGAAGATGTTTCGAGAATTATTTATTAACCACAAACTCTGAAAAGAATCCACTTTTCTCTGGACAAAAGCATTAATATTCATGGTTTTGGAAGTATAGTCACATACCAGAGTTTTCATGCCAGAGTATGCAAAATTGATTAATTCTATTGAAATGCACAAAATAAAAATGCAGACGGGCTAAAGGTACCTTTTCATCTTTCCAGTTTGCAATTCATTCTGTGATCCAGAAGATTAAATAATAGCTTTTTCTATTGGACCTCACAGGAGATCTCCACAGAGGCAGGGTTGTCTTTTTTAGAAAAAAGAAAGAACCATTTCTCTTTCTTGACTAGAGCAACAGAATAAATGTCATCTCCAGGTAAACCTTTAAAACCATAAATTTTGTCCCCCAGGCTAAAAGGAGTAGACTGAAAACACAGGTTTATCAGCCCACATATTCTGCTCTAGGTACATTGAGGCACTTCTGCAGTCTCTGGGCTGCACAAAATAGAGCTCATTCTAGAGAATCATAAAATCATAGAGTCATAGAATGGCCAGGGTTGGAAGGGACCTCAAGGATCATCGAGCTCCAGTCCCCCTGCTGCAGGCAGGGCTACAAACCTCCATATCTAATAGTAGACCAGGCTGCCCAGGGCCCCATCCAATCTGGCCTTGAACACTTCCAGGGATGGAGCATCCACAACCTCTCTGGGCAGCCTGTTCCAGCACCTCACCACACTCATATAAAGAACTTCCCCCTGATATCCAATCTAAATCTTCCCTCCTTTCTCCCACCGTTGTCCTGCCGTTGTCCTGCCATTATCGACCCTTTCAAAGAGTTGATTCCCCTCCTGTTTGTAGGCTCCCTTTAGATACTGAAAGACTGCAATGAGCACCCGGCAGCCTTCTTTTCTCCAGGCTGAACAAGCCCAGCTCCCTCAACCTGACTTCGTGGAGGAGGTGCTCCAGCCCTCTAATCATCCCTGTGGCCCTCCTCTGTACCCCCTCCAACAGCTCCCTGTCTTTCTCATACTGGGGGCCCCAGAACTGGACATGCTACTCTACATGGGGCCTCATGAGGTCAGAATAGAGAGGAACAGTCACCTCTCTCCCTGCTGGCCACCCCTCCTCTGATGGAGCCCAGGATACCATTTGCTTTCTGAGCTGCAAGAGCACACTGCTGGCTCATGTTAAGTTTTTCATCCACCAGGACCCCAGGTTCTTCTCCACAGGGCTGCTCTCAAGGACCGCTTCTTCCAGTCAGTATAGATGCCTGGGATTCTTCCAGCACAGCAAAGTGCTGAACCTAATTAGATTCACCCAGTCCCACCTTTCAAGTCTGTTGAGGTCCCTCTGAACAGCCATTTCTTCCATTGTGTCATCTGCACCACTCAGCTTGGTATCATCTGAAATCTTGCAGAGGGTGCACTCAGTTCCATCATCGATGTCACTGATGAAGATGTTGAAGAGTACCAGACCCAAGACAGACCCCTGGGGGACACCATTCATTTCTAGCTTCCACCTGGACACAGAAACATTGATCACCACCCTTTGTCTTTCAATCACCTTTTGTCTTTTACTCTTTCAATCAATTCCTTATCCACTGAGTAGTCCACACATCAAATCCATAACCCTCCAATTTGGAGATAAGGATGTGGTGGGGGACCATGTCAAAGGCCTTGCACAAGTCCAGGTAAATGACATGAGTCCCTTTTCCTTTGTCCACCACTGCCATCACACCATCATACAAGGCCACCAGATTGGTTAGGTATGATCTTCCCCCATTAAAACTGTGCAGCGTCTGATGCACAGACTCAGATGTGAACAATCCAAATCATTTATTACAAGTTCTCACATCACTTATATACCTTCACAAGTTTTCTTTTTCTAACTTCCCATCCACCCCTGCAACTTTCCCATCGACCTTTACATGTCAACAGAGCATTCTACAAAACACTCTTCTACTGTTCACACAGGCGCTTATCCAATCAGAGCTGTGAGATGTTCTTTCTTCTTCTAGAGGTGTCCTTGGTTCTCATGCTGTTTATCTTGTTCCACAGCTTCTGTTCTGAACAGCTTTTCTTGTATTCCCACAAAACTGTGCATGCTGTCTCCGATCACACATTAGAACACCTAAGTATTCACAGTCTTTGTACTTTGTTTAAAATCCAGGAACTTAAAATTTATGAGTTACAGCATCAGCTCTGGATTCTTCTTCCAAATCAAAAGAAAGTTAATCCTTTCTTTCAAGATCCCTGTTTTGATATGGCCTGTTATATTTCAATCAAGAACCAGTATTCTCCATCTCCAGAAAAACATCCTAGTCATGATGTCCTTGAGGCCTCTTTCTGTTCATTGTTTCCTGTAGTATCTGTAATAGGGATATGC